CCCATGTTTGGCGATGCCACTTGAAGCTCTTGGCTCACCAAAGATGCGATTCCCTCGATTGATGGATGGTCGAAAAGCAAGGTGGCTGGGAGCTCGGCGCTGAACTCGTCGCTCAGTGCTCGCTACAGCTCCGTGGCACCCAGAGAGTCAATTCCCGCCGCCATCAACGGCGCGTCTCCAGCTACTTGAGTGCCGAGCACCTCTGCGACGCAAGTGGCAACCGTTGCTTGCACTTGGTGCGTGTCCACTTGGCAACAGGCAATTTGACCCATGTTTGGCGATGCCACTTGAAGCTCTTGGCTCACCAAAGATGCGATTCCCTCGATTGATGGATGGTCGAAAAGCAAGGTGGCCGGGAGCTCGGCGCTGAACTCGTCGCTCAGTGCTCGCTACAGCTCCGTGGCACCCAGAGAGTCAATTCCCGCCGCCATCAACGGCGCGTCTCCAGCTACTTGAGTGCCGAGCACCTCTGCGACGCAAGTGGGAACCGTTGCTTGCACTTGGTGCGTGTCCACTTGGCAACAGGCAATTTGACCCATGTTTGGCGATGCCACTTGAAGCTCTTGGCTCACCAAAGATGCGATTCCCTCGATTGATGGATGGTCGAAAAGCAAGGTGGCTGGGAGCTCGGCGCTGAACTCGTCGCTCAGTGCTCGCTACAGCTCCGTGGCACCCAGAGAGTCAATTCCCGCCGCCATCAACGGCGCGTCTCCAGCTACTTGAGTGCCGAGCACCTCCGCGACGCATAGATTTACTTTTGGTGATACATCGGAATCGTCGAATTCTAGCTGTACAGCTTAGGTTGGAGATGGTCGCTAGATCACGCCTCCCTTCCTCATTACCTCTGGAGGTTTCTCAGAGGAGACCATTCGATCCATGAAAGACTCAGCAAAGCACACGACCTCTAGCGCCGCTTGCGCGGCATCAAGCACGCACTCTGAAGGTACTGAGGTGGGTCAAAAAATTGAGTGGGTGCTGAACAAGGCCGGACCAGCTGTCGAGTGCTACGCTTCGGCCTTGCTGACTGTGATCTAGTCTACAATGCCATATGCATCTGCCTGATTACTGGAGAGAACTATATCCTCCACATAGATTTGAAAACCAGTAGTTTACCCAACCATCAATGGCAGCGCTCAGCTGAACATGAAAAGGGGATTCACTCCCCGCGGCAGGTTGCCATAGTTGAATGTTGTCCCAGTGGTACAGACGCGCCAATCTGTCGCAAGCGCGAACGCGACGCCCCCTCCAATGAGCTTTCCATGAACTGCACCGAACTTCGGCACAGAGAGTCGACGAATGTCTCAGGTGACGCGCGAAAATTCCCAGAGAAACGATACGAAAGCTTCTTGCTGTAGCTACGAGCTGCCCTGCGTTATCTGCGTGAAGTTTCCGCCGGTGCAAAAATAAGCACCGGCGCCCTGAAATAACATTGATCAGCTCTCTGCATAGCAGCCTATTCTCCGAAGCGAAATGATGCATACGGTCAGGTCTGCAATTAGGGAATCGCTCTGAGCGTTGAAGTGGACTACGTCATTCAGTTCGATGACCGACATTGAGGCAGTAGAAACTACAAGGCGCACCGTGCGTTGGTCGCGTGTTACTTCTACACTCGGAAATTGTGTTGAGGTAACCACGACAGCTTCGGCTCCTGATCTGGAGTGGAGATACGACTTTAGGAGGACAGACGCTTCGGCGTTGGGCAACGAGATGCTAATGCGCATGCCAGCGCCAAATGCAGGGGCAAATTGCTAGTGCGCATGCC